GCTTTTCCTGGCTGTATCAGCAAAAACACATAAAAATGAAAGCAAAATACCTGAGCTGATGTCTGGCCGAGATTAAGTGCACTGGTCAGAGCGGAAACAAGATCAATGTATGTCTGACGTTTATCCGATGCCCCATCTGAGAAATCCATTAGAAATACAACGTCAAGCAGACATGCTGCAATAATTGTTTATTTTAGCTTATTAACAGAATCGTGATATCACAGACGTTGGCTGAGCTCTTAACTTTGTTTTAGAAAGCTTTTCTGAGAGAAGCCGCTGGGTAAACGAATTCTTTTTGTAGTTCGCTCTAGTGGTGCCAAGATATGCTCAAAAAGCAGGCAAAATTGGGTTAAGTGTGCGATGCTTTTGGTAAGAGCAACAGTAGACTTTGCAGTATATGTGTGCGTTTGCTACACATACAAATTTGAATGTTTCAGTGTCTGAAGGTAATACAAAATAGCGGATGGCGTAATGGTTAAAACATGTCACGGTCCGGAAGATCTTAAGATGATGAAGACGAAAAGTTCGATTTCTTCCAAGTCCATTTCACTGCAAAACAGGCTCCGTTTGCGACAAATGCTGCACTGGTACCCTAAGCACAAAGAAACACAGACGCTTTTCAGCTTCATCGTTGGGTTGCCTTAACAAAGCTGAATCACTGCGGTGTGTAGCGGCACGCAGAACGAATTGAACAACATGACGGAAGCTTTATTGAAGAATAGGAAGCTGAGCCGACCGCTCAGCTTAGATACCATCTTTTTGAATGACTATAAGATGATTGCTTCCTCTTCCCTTTTGGGAAGAGTCCGCCCATGGTCTGCCCCTCCACCCTCCGCCAGTGAAATCCTACTAATAAGCATTAATGGGATGACGTTGGCCTTGGCAGCTGGGGAGACCAGCAAGGGTCAACACAGGTCAGCGATGGCTTGCGTTGACCCCATCCAACACAATAACAACATTTGCTGCTTGCAGCGATACGGTGGTAGGTAGTTCGCAAAAAAAAAAA